TACTATTTTGATTTTTGTGTTTTTGTTTTGTTGTACAGCGATTTGTTTATTTTGAGGTTTTTGGGGGTTTTTTGCTTCGTTCCCTTAAAATGTAAGCTCTACCAGATGACCTATTTCTATTTTATTCACTGCTGTGCTCCATCACCTAGATTGTCACCTTTATGAAGTCTTTAATAAATATTTATCAAAAAGAATAAATGAGTGAATGAATTCATTTAATAATTTCCCATGCTCATTACATGCCCTGAGATTAAAAAATTATTGGTGAGATAGCTTAACATTTATTGAATGTTTTCATGTACCTGGCACTGTGATAAGAATTCTAATATGCGTCTTCCCATTTAATCCTCACAACAACCTCATGAGGAAGGTACTATTCTTTTTATTTTTAATCTCTTTTCTTACTTCAATTAGACTTTTTGGTTTTTATATTTTTTATTGAGGTTATGATAGTTTACAACATTGTGAAATTTCAGTTGTACACTATTTGTCAGTCACCATGTAAGTGTGCCTCTTCACTCTTTGTGCCCACCAGCCACCCCCCTTACCCCTGGTAACAAGTAAATAGTTCTCTTCATCCATGTGTTTGTTTATCTTCCACACATGAGTGAAATCATACAGTGTTTCTCTTTCTCTGTCTGGCTTATTTCGCTTAACATAATAACCCCAAGGTCCATCCGTGGTGTTGTAAATGGGACGATTTTGTCATTTTTATGGCTGAGTAGTATTCCAATGCGTGAGTAGTATTTCATTGTGTGTGTGGAATCCATAGATTCCATATCTTCTTTATCCAGTCATCAGTCAGTGGGCACTTGGTTTGCTTCCACATCTTGGCTATTGTGAATAATGCTTCAATGAACATAGAGGTTCATAAGTCTCTTTGAATTGTTGATTTCAAGTTCTTTGGATCAATGTCCAGTAGTGGGATAGCTGGGTCATATGGTATTGCTATTTTTAGTTTTTTGAGAAATCTCTGTACTGTTTTCCATAATGGCTGCACCAGTTTGCACTCTCACCAGCAGTGTTTGAGGGTTTCCTTTTCTTCACAACATCTCCAACATTTGTTATTTTTGTCTTGGTGATGATAGCCATTCTCACGGGCGTAAAGTGATATCTAAGTGTAGTTTTGATTTGCATTTCCAGACTCTGTGATAAGAATTCTAACACGCATTGCCTCATTTAATCCTCACAACAGCCTCACAAGGAATGTATTATTCTTATTCTCAGTTTACTCTTAAAGTTTCTGAATGTTGTGTTACTGAATTAAATTGTTCAGGAGTTCACAACAAGTGGCAGAGTCCAAACTCAATTCTAGGAATATCTTCGTCAAGACACGAAGGGGTCCATCTTTTCATTATTCTACCTTCTAAGCAAGGCACAGACTCTGCCCTACAGGAGCCTCGCAAGTAGTGAGAGATCTGTGAGCTTTAGAAAAGGCTTGCATAGGAGGTACAAGAGCCTTGCTCTGTGACATAGGGACAGGCTTACTTTCTCACTGTGGACGCTTAAGAGGCCAAGACTGATGTTGGCCTCTCCTGTCACCCACCTGGAACCTCTAGATCAGACAGAAAGGAGCCCAGAGTGACACTAACAAGAGAGATGTTGTCCCCAGGGATTCCAGTGGCTCAGCCTCTCTGGTCCCTGCACAGGCTCCTCCCCAAGAGGCCACCAGGAATTTGTTCAATTAGTGCAGGGTAACTGTTTCTTATTGATAGTCCTGAGTGTCTTTCCCCCTGTGTCTCCTTTCTACTGTAAAATAAATCTCTCCTGCCCATTATTGTGTTGCTGGTAAACAGACATGCAACACTGTGAAGGTCTTCAGGCCACAGAGGCTGGATCTTATCCTTTGGCTCCTAGGTCTCTTGGACAGAAAGCAAGGACTAAGGTAACAACCCAGAGCAAAAGTATTTGAACTTATTAAGGGTGAGAGTAGATCAGAAGGGGCCAGGATCCTGCCCTTGCAAACAAGTGTGGGTGTGAATATTGGACTGGTTGTGTGTGTCTTGTGTATTTCCACATATGTGTGCTGCTGGCACACACATGAAAAACCTCCATTTAAGATGTGCATTGATCAGGTAAGGCTAGAAATCTCCTGTGAGAAATCCATGCGATTTAGTGGTTATGTCTATGTTGTCTGTTCATTGTTGTGATTTGAATATCTGAGACTGTCTGGGAGCGCCCATATGTATGCATTTCTATTATGTGTTGTTTGCCAGTTCTTTGCACGACTCTTTGTGCATTGAGAGCATTTGGCATATAAGACGGTATGTTTATTTGTGAAATTTGTGTGGAACAGATTTGTACCCTGACCATGTTCATCTAGGGCATGCATATGTCAGACAGAATAGGAAATCATCCTTCAACAAAATGTGTGTTGAGGTGTGTATGTATGTGAGAGAAAGAGAGACAGAAGGAGGAGACAGAGAGAAAGAGAGAGAGAAAGGGAGATGGACCTCAAGTGTAGAGGTATCTGTATTGTATTTAACAAACTTGCACCTCTACCAAATCCCCCTAGAAAGGATAGGGCATGGAATAGTCTCATTTTCTGATGTTCCTCTTGACTCAGATCAGAACCCAGTGAGGCACTTTCAAACTGGATCCTCATTAATCCCTTTTGGGGCCATTGGACTACATGAGTAGAATGTTCCAACAATGCACACAGAACCCTAAATGTTTCTCACTCTGGCCTTTAGCATTGTCCATATATACACTTTGGGAGCAAGGTAGCCTGATTAAATGTCCAGATTCTGGTGTCCTTGGAATATGGTAGTTGCCACACAACAGTTTTTGCCCTTACCTTTGATCTCTCTGAGGCCAGCAGCCTTAAGTGTAAAAGAGGATAATAATAGCTTCTGTAAGATATTGTCTGCAGCAGTTTAATACATTTTAGGCACATATTAAGCATCCAGTAAAGGGTAGCAAGCTGTGTAATTTGCGTTCCCCAAATGGAGGCAGACTTACCTGATTCTCCATTCAGGTACCTCTAAGATGGGAGAATATGTTGTATCAGTTAGGACAGGAAGCCCATGCAAAGATTCTCTCTCACCCCTTAGGTTACAGCTTCATTACTGAGCAGAAGTGACACTTGCATTTATACCCAAGTTGAAGGTTCCATTCCTGCTGGTTCACACCTTGACACTGCAGCACCTGTGAGTGTACCAGGTTTTCTGCTCCACCCCTGCATTAGACCTACAGAGAAGCTGTTCATTTAAATATCCCTCAGAAATTGTCAATAAGCAGCCAAGCCTCATGGGGAAGTGAGGTCACTTCTTTTCTCCTACTATCCCTGAAAATCACCCTGTCTGGAAAAATAATTTACTATCAGATATGGATTCGGTGTGTTAACGTCAGTTTCCTCTTCCGGGCATATGGATATTTTAAGTCTCTTAGCCACTCTCCCTCAAAGAAATGAAAAGTGTCTGTCTCTAGTGAAAAGAGTATCAGAAGACTTGCATTTGAGATCAATTTCCACCACCAAACACATTGTGTAAGTGACTGAACTTCTCATATGAGTAAAATGAAAGAAAAAAGTCAGTTTTCTCTCCTTCTCAGGCAAAAATGTATACTGAATACTTATGATTAAAAGCATATGGAAGCCATTTGTAAACTGTAGGCTGTTGGAATATAAGGGGCTGTATGAATGAGTGGTGGCAGACATCTGAGCTGGTGGTTGAGGTAGTAGTGGGCACAAAAACACTCCTTCAAACAGTAAAATAACATGTCTCAAAGCCTTGGCTCTTCTGCTAGATTAAGTAAGGGGAGGAAGAATATGTTTAATAGGAGAAGAGAATTAATAAAGACATGAATAAAGAATGATGACTATAGCAGTTACTGCCTATGTGACCAGGAGCTGATTTCTTAACATCTCTTAGCTTCATCACACATACATGCACACACACACTATAAATAAATGAATAAATAAATATATGTATATTTACCCAGAAATTCCTTCATTTGACCTCATTCGTAGTAGACTACATGTTTAATAGATGTCAATTATATTAAGATTGATACTGGGAAATAGTCATGTTAATCAGATAACTATTAATTTTAATAGGCATGACAAATCTCACAGCATATACCAGTTATCAGGTTCTAGGGAAAATGTTCAGGTGTCTTACAGCATATGAATACTTAGATCTGAGCCAGTTTGATTCGCTGAAGATACATGCAGAGAAGTGGACAACAATGGAGATGGGGAGGCATAATTTATTTTTTTCCAAACTAAATAAAATGCATCAAGCTACGTTCCATCATGAAAATAACCACAAGGTATAGGGTGTGTGTCTCTGCACCTTCCTTAAGACTTTGAGAGCTCACCTATGCGAACACAACTTTTATCAGCCACCTGCTTCTTTGTAATGCCTACCTCACATTTCTGGTGTGTTGGATTCCTAAGGATCAATCCAGGATTTATCTGGAAATTCGCACTGGCATGAAGACATTAGATGACTATTTGTGCCCTTACTGTATGAATACCTCTATTCTAATATCAGAACTAACACTGAATCATTTAATTATTCCACAAACCCTAATGTAGGTATTATTGTGTTTATTTAGTAGAGGTTCAAAATGAGGCTATAAGAGAGTAAGTTGTTGAGGCTAGCTAGGAAGTGTTGGAATCAGAACCCACTAGAAGTCGAGTTGCAGATAGACTGATCTGAACCAGTTCTGGAAGAGGTTACTCCCTAGAATGTGAGCTCCTTGAAGGAAAGAACTTTGTCTTGCTTTCTCCAGGAAAGAGTGTAGTGTCTAACAAATTGTTTAATTAATAAATAAATTACCCCTGGTTTCCATTGAATTAATCTTATTGGCCGTTGAAGCTCTAATGGCTCCCTCCTGCTCAGCTAGGGCAGAGTGGGGATTCAGCCAAAAGCATGTGAGAAATATACTGAGGAATTCCTCAGTATAAAGTAGATACCCTTATTGTGATTGCCCTCATCACCATGCATCATCTGAGACATTCCCAATATTCCTTCAATCTAAGCAGAGAGAAGAGCATGAGAAGGGAGAATCAGAGCAGTGTGTCCAAGTTCCTCCTCCTGGGGCTCCCCATCCAGCCAGAGCAGCAAGGTTTGTTCTTTGTCCTGTTCCTTGGCATGTACCTGACCACAGTGCTGGGGAACCTACTTATCATCTTGCTCATCAGGCTGGACTCTCGCCTCCACACCCCAATGTACTTCTTCCTCAGCCACTTGGCCCTCACTGATGTCTCTTTTTCATCTGTCACAGTCCCTAAGATGTTGATAAACATGCAAATTCAGGATCAATCCATCCTTTATGCTGGGTGTGTGACACAAATGTATTTTTTCATATTTTTTGGCTGTGTTGATAACCTTCTTCTTGCACTGATGGCATATGACAGGTATGTAGCCGTTTGTCACCCTCTACACTACACCACCATCATGAAGGAGGGGTTGTGTATATTTCTGTTGGCTGGATCCTGGCTCCTCTCTTGTGCCAGTGCCCTGTCTCACACCCTCCTCTTGGATCAACTGTCCTTCTGTGCTGACAACACCATCCCCCACTTCTTCTGTGACCTTGCTGCCCTGCTTAAGCTCTCCTGCTCAGACACCTCCCTCAATGATATTTTTATCTTCACTGTTGGGGGATTGGTCATAATCCTGTCATTTATTGGCATCCTGGTCTCTTATGGCCACATTGGGGCCACCATCCTGAGGTTTCCCTCAATCAAGGGGATCTGCAAAGCCTTGTCCACCTGTGGCTCTCACCTTTCTGTGGTTTTTCTATTCTATGGGACAATTGTGGTATTGTACTTTTTCCCATCATCAAGCAACTCCAATGACCAAGAAATAATTGTTTCAGTCATGTACACAGTGGTCACTCCTATGCTGAACCCTTTCATCTACAGTCTGAGGAACAGGGACATGAAAAGTGCCCTAGGAAGACTTTTCAGGAGAGAGATCTTTTTCTCCATGTGACAGTACCCTATTCTTGCTCTTATCTTATCCACTGACCCTCTCAAAGAGAGCTCCTTGAAAAATGTGTAGTTAGATGACCAACCTTGTTCCTTGCTCCCTGCACATTCTCCTTTTCATAGTTTCTCTTATTTTTGGTCCTCTGCAATCCTCAGGAATAGAAGTGTGAAATATAATTGCAGAAGGTACCTTCCCGGTCTTTAAATTCTTGACTCCCAAGTTGAAGGAGATTGGAAGTATCAAATGTTTGAGATGGTACTTTTTAAATACAGAGTGAATTGTACATTTGACCCCTTATTTGAGTTAGTTTTAATGTTTATAAAATGCATTGTTTTAGAAATTAAGGTGTCATAATATAGCTGCATGAAAATTAATGACAATCTATAGTTTAGTTTCTCTATTTTTCTCCACAGCTTTAAAAATATAGCCTAGTTCCTAGTTTTCAAACAAGGATGTTCAAAATGCCTGTCTTCCTAATGAGGTAGCTGACTCATAAAGTGTTTTCTTATAGCTTCCTAAAACCTAAGCAAAATGCAAAGCTTTTGACCTTGCTAGCTAATTTTATTCTGTGTATGGTGGAAATAATCTAACAGAGATGCACAGGGCAATCACTGCTACTAACAATTTCCCAGTTCTAAGCACTTTTCCTCTACAGGAATTTTCTTGGTGAGATGGTCTATATACTTCTTCCTTCTAGTTTGGAAAAATGAGGATTGTTTATTTCTGCCCAGACTAAGACAATACATTTCTAGTTGAAGAAAAGATAAATGTATGCATGGGATATCACTCATAAATTTGTATTCTGTAACCACTATTTGCAGTCACTCTTATATACAGATGAATCAAAATGTCTCCCTTTGAGCAGTTTACTAATGTAGCAGGGAGACATTGTCAATAAAAGTAAATATGTAAAGTATATGCTATATTGTAAGATAATGAGTGTTATATTATTGACAATGACACAAGTAGTGGGAAGGGGGAAAATGAATCTTTTGGGTGGCACTGCAATTGTAAGTAGTCCAGTGGTCAAGGTAGGCTTCCATAAGAAGAAAAGATTTAAGCAAAAAGCTTAGGAGAACAGGGAAATAAGAAATCATTTTTATCCAAAGGGAAGAACATTCCAGACAGGGGGAGTAGACACTACCAGGGGTCTGAGATGAGAGATCACTTGGTACATTAAAGAAACAGAAAAGAGGCTAGATTGACTGTCAGAGAGTGAGCAGTGTACTGGTTGGACTGTAGTAGATAAAGGTTAGAGGTAACAAGTGATCTGTTTTTGTAAGGCTTTGTAGGCAATTATAAGGTCTTTGTTTTAACTATGTGTGATTTGAGAAACCAATAGAAAGTCATCAGCAGAGGAGTGATACGATCTATCTTAAGCTTTCAAAGTATCTTTCTGGCTCTTTTGTTGAGAATAGACTTGAAAGAAGGCAAGTGTGAAAACAAGGAGATTATGAGGCTATTGGAACAATATACACAAGAGATTCTGGGCTCTCACACCAGCATAGTAGCATTAGAGGCTTGAGGTAGAGTTCTGAGCAACCTAACAAGTCTCAATGAATTCAAAGGGATTTTAATCATACAAAAATTGTTCTTTGAGAACAACATAATTAAATTAGAAAACAATAACAAAAAGATATCTGAAAACTACCCAAATGTTTGGAAACTCAGTAAAACATTTCAAAATAACCCATGGATTGAAGAAGAAATAAAAAGTGAAATTATAAAGCATTTAGAATGGAGTCAAAATAAAAACAAAACATATCAAGCATGTGAGATGCAGCTAAACTAGAGGAAAAGGGGAAATTTATAGCAACGAACACTTGTGTTAGAGAAAAATAATGACCTCAGTATCCAACTTAGAAAAAGAAGATCAAATTAAACACAAAGTAAGCAGAAGAAACAACAAAGATAATGACAAAATTAATAAAACAGAAAACAGAAAAAATAGAAAGAGTTAAGTAAATAAAAAATTGGTTCTTTTAGAAGAAGAATAAAACCAATGAGCCTTTAGCCAAACTAATTGGGAAAGATAAGAGAGATGACGTAAATTACTAATATTAAGAGGAGAGATGATATCATGTGTGTATAAAGTCCATATGGGTTCACTTTTGGTGTATGTTTTAAGATATAGATACAGATTAGTTTCATTCCATATGGACAGCCAATAGATATAAAAGTTATTACAAATTCCATCCTTTCTCTGCAGTATTGTCTTTCTCATAAATTAAGTGATTGAATATAAGTTATCTTGGCTACTTTTTCATCTTGCATTTTCATTTTAATTTTAGATACTGCTTGACAATTGAAAAGACAACAAAACTATTGATATTTTATTTGGGATGGCATCAAAATATAAAACAGATTAGAGACAACTGTCATTTTAAAAGTAGTTAATCTCTAACCTGGGAGTATGCTATATTTCTTCAGCTATTTATATCTTCTTATTTTCTTTCAATACAGCTTGTAGTTTTAGGAGGACTTACACATATTTTGCTCAACCTTTTAGTGGATATTTCATATTCATGTGCAATTTTAAAATGTTGCAATAATTTAAATTTCTTATTCAGTCTTTTCTACCATATAGAAATATAATTGACTTTCTATGTCAAAACCAATATACAATTCTGCTAAATTCACTTTTTTCATCCTGTAATTTGTCTGAATATTGTTTTGGATGTTTCAGATAAATCATAATATTTTCTGTGAATAATAAAAATTGAGTTCTACCTTCTCAATGCTTGGATTCTTTATTTCTTTTTATTCACGTAATGTACCAGTTAAGATTTCTGATACAATCTTTTATTTCTACAAGTTTATATAATAAAATTCACCTCAATGAATTTTAGTAAATTTCCTGAGTTGTAACTTAAAAGAAATTGATAAATTCCAAGAAGCATATCTCCTACTAAGATTGGATCATGAAGAAATAGAAACCTTGATGAGATCAATAACATATAAGGAGATTGAATCAGTGATCATAAACCTCCCAAAAAAGAAAAGCCCAGGACCAGATGACTTCACTGTTGAATTCTATCAAACATTGAAAGAAGAATTAACACCCACTCCTCTTAAATTCTTTCAAAAATTAAATAACAGAGAACACATACAAACTCATCCTATGAGGCCAATATTACCTTGATGCCAAAGCCAGTCAAAGATACTACATGAACAGAAAACTAAAGGCCAATGTTCTGAGGAACATAAATACAAAAATCCTCAAAAAAATACTAGCAAACCAAATTCAACATCACATTAAAAGGTCGTACACCGTGACAAAATGAGATTTATTCCTGTGGTGCAAAGATGGCTCAATATATGCAAATCAATCAGTGTGATACATCACATTAATAAAATGAAGAATAAAAACTGCATGATCATTTCAATAGTTGCAGAAAAAGCATTTCACAAAATTCAACATCTTTCCGTAATAAAAACTCTCAAAACCAGGTATAGAAGTAAGTTGAACACAATGGAAGTTGCACGTGAAAACCTAGAACAAACATCATAATTAACAGGGAAAATCTGAAAGCTTTTCCTCTAAGATCAGTAACAAGAGAAGGATGTCCAATCTTGCCACTTTTATTCAACATAGTACTGGAAGTCCCAGTTGTAGCAATTAGGCAAGCAAAAGAAATAAAAGGAATTCAAGTTGGAAAGGAAGATGTAAAATTGTGTCTGTTTTCAAATGACATGATCTTCTATAAAGAAAACTTTAAAGATTCCACCAAAAAACAGTTAGAACTGATAAGGTAATTGAGTAAAGTTGCTGCATACAAAATAAGTGTGGAAAAATCAGTTACATTTCTGTACATGAACAACAAACAATCTGAAGACTAAATCAAGAAAACTAACATTTACAATAGCATCAAAACCAATAAAATACTTAGGAATAAACTTAACCAAGGAGGTGAAGGACTTATACATTGAAAATCACAAAACACTGATGAAAGAAATTAAAGAAGACACACATAAATGGAAAGACATCCCATGCTCATGGACTGGAAGGCTTAATATTGTTAAAATGTCCATAATGTCCAAAGTGATCTACAGATTCAAAGCAATCCCCACCAAAATCTCAACGGCATTGTTCACAAAAATAGACTAAAACCCTAAAATTTATATGGAAACACAAAAGATCAAGAATAACCAAAGCAATCTTAAAAAACAAAAGAACAAATTTGAAGGCACCAGTCTTTCTCTTTTTTTAATATTTATTTTTTTATTGCAGTAACATTGGATTATAACATTATATAGCTTTCAGATGTACTTCGCAATATATTTCAAATTCTGTGTAGATTACATCACGTTCACCACCCAAAAACTAATTATAGTCCATCCCCTCACATGTGAGCTTAATCACCCCTTTTGCCCTCCCCCATCCCTCCTTCTCCTATGGTAACCACCACTCCAATCTCGGTTGCTATAAGTTTGTTTGTCGTTGTGTTTATCTTCTACTTATGAGTGAGATCATACAGTATTTGACTTTCTCCCTCTGACTTATTTCACTACACATAATACCCTCAAGGTCCACCCATGTTGTCACAAATGGCCGGATTTCATCATTTCTTATGGCTGAGTAGTATTCCACTGTGTATATATCCCACATCTTCTTTATCCATTCGTCCCTTGATGGGCACCTAGGTTGCTTCCAAGTCTTGGCTATTGTGAATAATGCTGCAATGAACATAGGGGTGCATGTATCTTTATGCATTTGTGTTTTCAAGTTCTTAAGATAAATACCCAGCAGTGGAATAGCTGGATCATATGGTAGATCTATTCTTAATTTTCTGAGGATACTCCATACTGCTTTCCATAGTGGCTGCACCAGTTTGCACTGTCGCCAGCAGTGTACTAGGGTTCCCTTCTCTCCACATCCTCTCCAATACTTGTTTCCTGTCTTGTTAATTATAGCCATTCTGAATGGAGTGAGGTGATCCTCATTGTAGTTTTGATTTGCATTTCCCTGATAGCTAATAATGTTAAGCATCTTTTCATATGCC